GATTTTGCTTTATTTTTCCCAGTCTGGAGTTATAAGTAATAGTATATCAGATGTACTGGTGAGAGCCTTCTATGCTAATTCTAGTGACATATATTACTACATTTACATTTAAATTAGCCTTCTATGCTAATTCTAGTGACATATATTACTACATTAGTTCAGTAGGCTAAAATGAACACCTCCCAACAATATTAATATTTTCCACAGAAACAACATGATTTGCTGGAACTTTACTAATTCACAAAATAGAATCAACCAAGAGCAGGTTAGAAAACATCCCAAATGCCAATCTTTATTAACTGCTGTTTTTCCTCTGTTTTCTTAAGGCGATCTGGTAGGGTCCAGCATTGTCGTATCCGTTCTTATAGTGATGGCGATATCATGAAATATTACCTGACAGATAACCTCACCTTTGATAGTATCTATGATCTCGTTCAACACTACAAGGAAGCCCACTTGCGATGTGCGGAATTTGAGCTGCGTCTGACTGATGCTGTGCCTAACCCCAAACCTCATGAAACTAAAGAGTAGGTACAGATGAAGTGAAGCTCTCTGGTTCTGTAAAAGGATGTAACTTTTTGTTGTCATACATGGCCATGGATTTCATGCATTCAGGGAAAAATTGGGTAGCTGCTATCATAGATTTCTAAGAGCCTTGAAAAATTCAGGTTAGACTCTGGGTTTCATGGGGAATTAATGGTAAAGCAGGTGCTCATTGATATAAGAGTCAGAGAAACAGTGAAAGCTATAAATCACCCAGAGGGTGCAAAGTCCTTCCTTTCCCAGTTCCCTTTCTTTGTTCACTAATTTAAAATACTCAGGAAATAGTTGAATTGTTGTCTGTGGCCTGGGAACTAATTTGAGAAATTCAGAAGTTACTGTTCATGCACCAGGTCCATCCTTAGACATATGCAGCTGCATAGGGCACCAGTTGTACCCCAGATTTGGTAGTGCCCTATGCTACACATGCCTCATGCCACTGCTGGCTGTAGGCAGTTCCGGCTCTGGTGGTCCTAATCCCCCGTCTCCTGCTTCACCTGCTGGCCTTGGTAGCTCCAGGCTCCTTCCATCTGCTACAGCTTCTGGCCCGCAGCTCCATCCAGCTGTGGTGTCCCCTTCTGCCCACTTTGCCTCCCATTCCATAGCTCCTGCCAGCTGTGTTGCTCAGTATCCCTGCTCCCCTGCCAGCCTATCTGCCTTGTTCCTGGCCCCATAGGTCCTGCTCCCACAGCCCTGAGCACAGCCCCCCCACCCTTCAGAGTTGCTTCTCTGCTCCAGCCTCCTCTCCCACCAGTGTGGGAGGGAGGTGCAGGCACGAGGGTAGCATAGGTTAACAGAACTCATAAGAACGGCCCTTTCATGCGCCATGTATGCTTTTGGTCCATTGTTTGTTTTACAGATTGAAAAAGAAAATTTACTTTGTGTGCAGAATTTATGTCCAGGAATTAAGACAATTTTTATGTTCTGAGGCCTGATTCTCTAACGTACTATATACTTTGAGATGCCCTCTGAAATTAGTGAGAGTTAAGGGTGTCCTGTGTTTTTGTTTTTACATCACTGGATGGAGATCTTCAACTAATGTATATTATTCTAGCACCACTGAAATCATTACTCACCTTGAATAGGTACTGTGTGAGTGACAGCATCTGGTTGTAAGGAGGGGTCCATTGGCTGCTGTTTTCTCTTAGCTCATATCTAGACTCTTCCTTAAAATCTTTAACATCAAAACTTTGGCTTCAGTCTGACATTTGGTTATGAACAGAAAAATCTGCATTCTCTGTCGCTGTTCTATGGAGACAAATTGATTTATGTTATATTGTTATAAGCAGACAAGATTAGGATATTTTTCTGATGGTTTTATCCCAAATAAGCTGATGTGCTACAGTATTTTGCTTTAAGATACTGTCATATGTGCTAAGATGAGGAAAATTAAATATATAATTTATCTTGTAATGTCTGAAGCTTTAATTCTAGTAACACTGCCAGTTATTCTTATTGAGTGACACTTTGACAAGCTTTGTAATCACTTGTCCATTTTCTTTCCCTCTGTTGCAGTTGGTACTATAGTAACCTAAGCCGAGGAGAAGCAGAAGACATGTTAATGCGAATTCCCCGAGATGGAGCATTTCTGATTAGAAAGAGAGATGAGCCTGATTCATTTGCCATGACGTTCAGGTAAGAAAAGACAAATGCAGCTGTGCAACATAGAGGGCCATTTATGCTGTCTGGTACATAAAAATCTTCCCTTTGCATGAATAAAACCTGAGTGTGTGCTCTTGAAGTTTAGGCAGTTAACCACACAGTTTCTTGATGTGCACAAGTAAGTGGATGCAGAAGCAAAATACATGTGCATACAGCGCCGGATCAGTACCTCAGATGCCAAGTCTCTGGCCAGAGGAGACCTAATTAAGTGGCATAATAATTTCAGATTCATTCAGCGTCTATTACATTATGCAGTTCACTAAAAGTGAAGTTTCCATCTCTCTGCTATTCAGTAACCTTGCCAAAAGTAACTGCTCTATAACAACAGTTTCTGATTGAAATGGAAACAAAATACAGGACTATGTAGCACTTTAGAGACTAACAAGATGGTTTATTAGATGATGAGCTTTCGTGGGCTAGACCCACTTCCTCAGATCAAATAGTGGAAGAAAATAGTCACAACCATATATACCAAAGGATACAATTAAAAAAAAGAACACGTGAAAAGGACAAATCAAATTTCAGAACAGAAGGGGAATGCAGGGCAGGGGAGGGGGGGCAGGTAAATGTCTGTGAGCTAATGGTATTAGAGGTGATAATTGGGGAAGCTATCTTTGTAATGGGTAAGATAACTGGGGTCTTTGTTGAGACCCACGCATAGAGTGTCGAATTTTAGCATGAATGACAGTTCAGAGGATTCCCTTTCAAGTGCAGATTTAAAAGGCTTCTGAAGCAGGATGCAGGTAATTAAGTCGTTGAGACAGTGTCCTTTCTGGTTGAAATGGCAAGAAACTGTTTTTTCTTTGTGATCCTATCTGTTTTGTGGGCATTGATCCTTTGGCGAAGTGTCTGAGACGTTTGTCCAATGTACAAAGCAGACGGACACTTTCGGCACATGATCGCATAAATTATATTTCTAGATGCGCAGGAATAAGTATTCTTGATCTTATAACTCACTTGGTTAGGTCCAATAATGGTATCAGCAGAGTGAATATGTGCACAAAGCTGGCAATGGGGTTTGTTGCAAGGGAAGGTACCAGGGTTGGTATTAGTGTGGTATGTCCTGTGGTTGTTGGCAAGAATCATCCTGAGGTTAGGTGGTTGTCTATAGGAGACTATGAATCTAATATACCATCTTGTTAGTCTTTAAAGTGCTACATAGTCCTGTATTTGGTTTCAGCTACACCAGACTAACACGGCTACATTTCTATCGCTATTCTGATTGAAACTGGTGTGTGTTTTCTAATAACTATAATGCAATTTTGAATCATATTAAGTTTCTTTAATCATGTCTGCTAATGCAGTGTAGAAGGTTGTCTTGGAGAGCAGATACATGCTGTCTTTTATTTAAGTATTTTACTTTGCAGTGAAGATTTTCAGACTTCTCAAGTCTGCAGTGAGCTTGGTTTCATCTTTCTTGGATTGGGAAGATAGGGTATTAAAGTCCATTATCGATTCTATGAGCAGTGTCCTTATGAAAACACTTCATTGCCAGAAGAGTTTTCAGGTATCTTCCATGTCTAGGAAAGTGGAAGGGTGATGGTTTGGGTAGTGATTACCAAAATTTCAAAACTTGGGCTCAACCAGATAGGAATTTTTCCTTTGGGCTCAAGTGAATACAGATCCTTCCTATAAAAGTGGATTGCAGTGGCTATCAGGTATATTGTAGGTATAAAATGGCCACTGTTTCTGGAGAGACTTCTTCTTGTCACTTGATAGTGTTTGACAGTGATTGGCTTAAAAAAAAACCTTTGTTCAGATAAATACTTCTTGGCTAGATGACTGGTGAAGTTGAGATGAATTGAGAGTGAGGGATGATGGGGAAATGAAAGCAGGAAAAAATGAGGGTATTTCCAATGCTCCCAAATTGGAGATGAGCGAGACCATTTTCGATTCTGTTTTATTTGTGAATTGAATGGGGCAACCTGAAATTAATTTGGGTAAATGAGGCTTTGGAAAAGCACGGAACTTTTCAATACATTTTTAACATGTCTGGGGATAATAAGTGAGGTTTTTCTACGTTAGATCCCAATGGCTTTTACTACGGTAAGTGAGGTTTTTCTGTTACTTTCAAAACCATTGGGATCTATCACAGCACCTGTATTAATTCCACAGAGCCGAGGGGAAAGTGAAGCACTGCCGAATTAAACAAGAAGGCCGCCACTTTGTGCTGGGAACCTCTGCCTATTTTGAAAGCTTAGTCGAACTGGTGACCTACTATGAAAAGCACTGCTTGTACAGAAAAATGAAACTGCGTTATCCTGTGACTGAGGAACTGCTAGACCGCTACAGCACGGCAAGTGATTACCTTGTAATGAAGTGAGTCAGTGAAAGATAAATGCCATCCTCCTTCATGATAGGAGGCGAAGGAGGATAAAATTCCAACCCCCACCACAAAAAGAAAAGGACCCATGTACCTCAAAGCACTTCTGTAAACAAGGAGACCTGCAGTGATTAGAGAACCTAAACTATAGCAACATGGTTCTAATACCTGAAGTATAACAGCTGTTGTTATTTTTTTTTCAGTTCCACATCATAATCTCACTCAGCCTCTCAAAGGTCTTTACAAACATTTAATGAATTAAGTGATATTTCTGTGAGGTAATATGGTCATAATACTGTTTCATCAGACATAGGCACAGGCAGGTGAAATGTCTTTCCCAAAGTACATGGTGACCTAGTGATAGAAATGGATCTCTAGCAGAGATGGGCTCCCAGCTCTGGTCAACCCTCCCTCCCCCCAGTTTCTGAATTGCTGATATGCTAGATAAGTATAGATATGTATGTACTACACATAGGGGTCCCTCCTTGCTCTACTAGAACAGTCTTGCTGTAGATTTAAAATATACTTCCCTAACTTTGTTTTTTCCCCAACGTTTTTAGGAGAAAGATATTAATTCACTTTATGATGTCAAGATGTATGTAGAGCCTAACGAAATAACCCCAACTGTGGTATGTTTACATTCAAGTGATTTGTTTTCAAACTAAATCTTCCTGCCTTTAATAGATGTGAGAACATTTGCATTGATATTTCCATACTTTTCAATAGTTGTACCTGAATTGTGGGGGAAGGTAAAACTCAGGAGGGGTTTAATTTTTCAGCGTATCCTTTTAATTTTTTTTTTATTCTTGCAAAAGCCATCTTGGCTGTAAATGTACATTCCTGTGTAATTCTTTCTCTTTGTGACTAATGATTTGACATTCTTGTGGAAGAATTCAGGTAGCGGTAAATTCAATATAGGGAAATTCCTTGTCCTGATCAAAACTTGAATTTCCTAGAGGAAATTTATTCTGTAGTATTGTTGATGAAGTTTTGAAGCAGATGATAGGATTGATGCAGAGCCTGAAGAGAGACTGCTTCCCAGCTTTGAAAAATTTGTATTCTCATCTGTATCCACAAAAATGAGTCGCAGATATCCACATGGACCTCCACCGATGTGGATAGCTGTGTATATCTGCAAATTTGCAGAGTTCTAGATAGAAAATTTGTATCCACTTCCATATCTGCAAAAAGGAGTTGTGGATATCCGCAGCCACATCTGCCCATATAAAGCGACTATCCATGGATTTGCAGGGCTCTTTGAATCCGGGTGCGTGTAAGCAGGGATGATAGCTCACAGTTCTCTGTGTTTGTTTAACCACAAAAGAAGTTATCTTTTGCCTCTCCCTTATGCCAGTAGATGTCACTCTGGAACCTTAGAGTGACGCTTACCACGTCTAATAAAGAAAAAGATCTTCTTTCTTTTGGGAAGGGTTTATTGATAGTTTTGTGACCTGTCCCTTTCTCTTACCCCCTTTTTTTGGTTTTTTTAAAGCCTCAGAGAACAGTGAAAGCCATATATGACTATAAAGCCAAAAGAAATGATGAACTGAGCTTCTGCAGAGGGGCCCTAATTCATAACGTCACAAAGGAAACAGGAGGCTGGTAAGGAGCGTGATTCCTTGTGGAAGAGCTGCCATGTCATGCATGTAATGTGGAAATGAATTCAGCTTTGTGTAGTGGTTCTTAAAATTGTGGCTTATTACCCTGCTGCTGATTCTTAGACTTATTCTTATACATCCCAGAAGTTGATGAAGAAAGAAAACCCCTTTTAATTTTCTCAAGCTTCCCACCTTGAGACTCATAGCTCCTGCCTGGTTTTTTGCTAAGAAGTACTGCATGGTATTTGCAGTACCATCAAAGAGCTTTTGAGAGGAGCGACCCATGCCAACAACCTATGCTTGGTACAGCCTAATTCTAGCACATCAGGATTGCCCCTTTTCCCCTTGGCACTCCTCCTGAACACCCACTTCCTGCAGGAGAAGTTGTGCAAAACAGGGGCCAAAGGCTAATCCTGTATCAGCAGCACAGCATGCACCTCCCTGCTTTGTACAACACTTCTTGAAAACCAAAGTGCTTTTAAATTGTGTTTCTTTCCAACCTGGCTTATATATTGATTTGAATGCTTGGGAATTTAATGTCCTCTTGTTGAAACTCTTAGTTTGGCAACACCCCGGTCCTGCATCATTGGGGTGGCCCTGTGGGGCCAGGAGCATTGCCAGACTAGGGGGTTGAGAGAGCGGAGCCTTTGGTGGCAGTGGAGCCTCCCGACACAGCATGGAGTCCCTGGCAGCAAGGGGGCCGGTGGGGAGAGACCTTAGAGGCAGTAGAGCCACCGGGTGGAGTGTGGAGCCTTGGGTGGCAGTGGGACCTGTTGAGGGGAGCGCAGAGCCTCCCTCCCTGTGGCAATAGAGTCACAGGGCAAAAGCGGACCCCCAGGTGGCAACAGAGCTGTGGGGAAAAGCAGAGACCTCCACCCCGTAGGGAGAGCAGAGCCCTGGGTGGCAGTGGGGCAGCCAAAGAGGAAAAGCAGAGCCTCTGGTGCATTGACTTTCCCTGGTCTGGCTAATTCCCTGGTCCAAGACTAGTCAGGTCCCAAGGGTGTTGGACCAGGGAGGTGCAAGCTGGTCTTGGGTATTAATGACCAACTTCTTGAGGATTGTTGTTTAATTGATGGCCCGTGTTTTGAAGGATTTCAGTTGTGTCTCTTTTTTGTTTTTTAAATTTCAGGTGGAAAGGAGATTATGGAGAAAAAGTCCAACAGTATTTTCCATCTAATTACGTTGAGGACATGTCGGATGATAACTCGGCAGATCTTGAAAACCAGGTGAGGATTATAGGGTTTGTTTCATGTCTTCCATTAGTATGATGCTGCCCTTTGAGCTGGTTTCTCTCATTCATGAGATTATAATTGTAGGTTGTACATGATTCAGTCTTAGTGCAGAGTAGAAAAGTACTATTTGCTCTTCTTGGAGCTGTTTCAGACTCAATTCTCTTCTGTGCTTGATGCCACTAGCTGTGTTTGGCAGGTTGTTCATTATGGAACAGTGTTTAGGGAGAGTTGTTGACCAGTGGATTTATAAGGAGGCCATAACAGTTGCCGGTAGTGCTAGCATACAGAGTCAGATTTTCAGATTGATGTGTGGAACAATTATGTGCCCCACGTATGCATCTAATTAGCCCACATAGTTACTGCAGTGGTCTTCGCAAATGGGAATATGGGGTGCACAAATTCATCTAATTAGCTATTTTCACACCTTGTTACCCAGTATGTAACTGAGCCAATTGTGATTGCCAAAAGCATGTGAAAATCTGTTCCAGAGTCTTGGACAAAGAGCAATTTGATCTAACAAATGACAGCAAAAATCTGAGTAGGCAGTTGTTAAATTGCACAAATTCTTTTGGTTTTTTAAAATAAAATGTTCAATGAGCCCTCAGATCAGCGTTGGCTAGGGAGTGTGTTAGGGAAGTTTATATGAACATTTTGATCTTTTTAGTATTGTATAAAGGGAAGCTTAGAAAAGGAACGATTACGCCAGGATAGTAGCTTTGTAATGCAACAGTCAAAATACGCATTTGATTTCTGAATTCAAGTGGTACATGTCTGCAAGTTAGGAAACAGGGAACTGGTCTCGTTGAAGACCCACAGATGAACAAGAATTATTCCTAGCCAGTGTTGCTAGTCATCTTTCATCCATAATAAGACATTCTCTCATTAAAAATGAACTTTTTAAACAGAGCCCTTAGCAGTTTCTCCACGACATTGTGGGCAGTTATAAGCAGTTAACTCTGTGTTTCATTTTTGTTATGCATCCTGTGACTGCTGATTAAAATGGAAAAGATTAAGTGAATCAAATTAAACACATTGTTTCTTCACAGATTATCGAGGACAACCCCTTAGGCTCTTTGTGTCGTGGCATACTGGTCCTCAATGCATACAATGTCGGTACGTAGCCTCTGGAGCTTGTAGCAAGATTCTTAGGTTTTCTTCCTTTATTTGGGCTGTTTCTCATTGAGCAGGAAAAGTTTTGTGAAACTTCCTTATGTTTATATGGCCTATAATGCAGCCTGATGATGCCATCTATTCAGCCTGACAAGAGGTTTTATAGTGGAAGTCTGTATGGCTGGCTACTGCATTGAACCAGCATGCACTTAAGACTAAAAGAGTTGATAAATTTGAGTATGTCTCTGTTATTACTGGTCTGTCCAATAGTGAAAATGCCACAAGGGAAGCACGATAAGGCTTTTGTCTTCCTACTGGAGCCCAGGAATCCAGAAGATCCTCCTGTTGAATTTGCAACCGATACAGTTGAAGAGCTGTTTGAATGGTACCAAAGCATCAGGGAAATCACATGGAAAACTGCAGAAGAGGTACCAGGAGAAAATAATTGTTTTGTTTTATTTTCCAATGGATGGTTATAAAATTAGGAAATAATGAGCCTTTGCCTGTTTGAGAACCACTTAAGCTTCCCAAGCTTCACTAAAGCCTGAACACATGAATTCTTGCATATTTATTTTATAGGACTTATTTCAGCAGTTTGACTTCAGTGGGACTATTTACATAAAGTAAGGTACCTTGCTAATCTGGATCTGCTTTCCTAAACTTTAAGGCATTTCAGGATAGTTTGCAGAACATCAGCCATCAGTTTCAAAAGTTTGTTCTGCAGAGTTCTCAAGTAGACAGCTGGAGTCTCCTCTGCTTTATACTCCATGTTGTTGCGTGCAACTAGGCAAAGTAGATAGGAAATAGTAAAGAATTATAATGGTAGTGTTTGACATCCACTTTGCACAGGGGTAAGATATGACATGCTTGGTACAAGGCAGTGGAGAACCGAGTTTGAAAAGTAATCCACTACTGCATGTGCTATGTGAGCTCTTTTGCCCAAACTCCTCTTCATAATCCTGCTTCTGACCTCTGCTTTCCAGTGAATGAATATATAAAACACTTTCCTACTTGTGTGTGAATAACTTCATTATATCAGACTAGTAATAACCTGCAGCATGGAATTCCTCTTTTTATCTTCACCTGGGTGTTTTCCAGATCTCTGATAGCAGAATGATTTCCCCTCTACTTCAGCTTCTCCATCATTGAGGCTTTTCTGCCTCTTCAGAAGGACAGGGTAGGACATTCTGCAGAGCCTGCCACTGATGCTCCATAACCCTTCCCTTTGGCTGTTCTCTTTTTCTCTCCTCTTTACCTTTCTAGTATGTAAAAAGCCTTTGACCCATTGAGAACACGCAAAGGAGCAACTTTACTTAGATATCCTGTTTTCTGCATTCCTCCTCCTCTTTTTTTTATTATTCCTTGTGTGATTTGAATGACAATGATCTGTGTTTCTTTTCATTTCATTGGCTCCTACTGCTTATCCCTCAGCTGAGGTCTTCATGGTTTGCTTTGTGTCCACAGAATTATATCTACAACTACAGCAAACTTACTTGATGTCACAAGCAGAGAGCTGTCACTTCAGCTAGGGAGGAAGCAGCAGGAGCTGTTGATTTGTTATGAAAGAAATGCTCTGTTTTCATGCCTGTGGCATTACAGTAGGTTATAAAAATGTGGGGAAGGAAAACATGATCCAGTAGAAATGTCTCTAAATAGAATATTTTTTCAGATGTATTAGCAGCCCTTTAAGAGGCAGTTTTCTCATCCTTTTGCTGTCAGAGAAGCATTTAATAGCTCCCTAGTTCTAACGTCCTCTCCTGCCAATGGGACACTCATGGTTTGCCACTGGATTACCACTTTAAAGCTCATTGAGTAGGCAGCAATGTACACTTTGCAAGGGTCGAGATGTACAGTACAAAGAGGGACAACATGTCAGTATGATGGGATATAAAGATTTTATCATTATGCATTGGGAGGTGTGTGCTATGCATGAGGAGGGCCCTGTCAAATTCACAGCCATGAAAAATGCATCACAGAATGTGAAATCTGGTCTTCCCCCTCTAAAATCTGGCCTTTTTGTGTGCACTTTTACTATGTACTGTGCAGACTTCATGGGGGGCGAGGAGGGAGACCAGCGTTTCTCAACTTGGGGGTCCTGACCTAAAAGGGAGTTGCAAGTTATTTTGAAGTATTCCGAGTGAACTGGATGGCTGGAGAGCAGCAGTTGTTGGTTAGGCACCAGCTTTGAAGGCAGTGCTTTGCCAGTAGCAGCACAGAAGTAAGCGGGGCAATATGCCACCTTTACTTCTTTGCTGTGCTGGCGATTGCTCTGCCTAGAGAACTAGGCTCCCAGTGAGCAGCCACTGTGCTCTGGCCATGCAGCTCTGAAGGGAGCGCTGCCAGCAGCAGCAGTGCACAAGAGTAGCAGCATCACAACCCCTCCCTTACAATAACCTATGACTCTCTCCCAACAACTCCTTCTGGGTCAGGACCCTTACAATTACAGCACAACGAAATTGTAATTTAAATAGCTGAACTCACAACATTTCCATTTTTAAAATCTCATGGCTGTGAAGTTGACTAAAATGGACCGTGAATAGGCTAGGGCCCTACACTTGAGCAGTGAAATGATGAGATTTCAACTTGGAGCTTTATCGACTTTGACATCCCTGTTTTATAATGGCAATAACCACACTCCAAGGAGTGGTCCATTCCTGTTGGTATTGATTTCTGCTTAGCTGTCCATAGAAGTGTACTTCTGAGAATGAGCTTACAGCACCTGGAACTACTCCTTTTCATGAAAGCATTCACTGCTTACAAGTGAAGGTTGCACGGCTATTAAGATGTTACATTGCAGTGGGCAGTGGGTATTACAAAGAGGCAATAGCTCATATCTGCATTTGTCCAAGATGATGTCAGTTCATAATCCTAAATCCCCTCTTTGCTTTTCCTAGACCATAGCACCCGCTCTCTGGTCTGGTGACTGCTTCTGGAAAAACGTCTCTCTGCAGCTCCTGTTTTCCTCCCTCCTCCTGCTGTTGTGAGAATTTCTTTTGGAGATTTCCTGTTTCCTTCTGCTTTATCACCTTTTGTCCTGAAGCTAGTAACTGTTCAGTATGTGACTCCATTTATACCTTCTGCCTGCAATCACTTTTTGTGTCTTTTTGTAATTTTGATCACCTTCTGCCAAATTCTGCCTTCACTTAATGCAGGGCTCTCATTGACTTCAGTGGCATATAAATCTCGACCAAGTGCCTGCCAAAGTGAGGAGTGGCCTGGCTTCCCTACTCTTATTTGAATAGGTTGCAGGTGCTCTCATTCAGATCCCACAGCACCAAGAGTTAAACCCCTAGCCTTGCAGTAGATTGTGGATGTTTCAGTTATCTCTTATGTTATTTTTTGTACCTGCTGGAAATGCTGGCTTGCTTTGCAAAAAGTGAACTGCTGGAGCACTGGGCTGTGCATTTGGAGGCAACTGCATGACATCCTTGGGGGAGTCACTAGAGGCACTTAATCCTGATTTAGATGATAAATAAGTGGAGATAAACTTCATGATGCTTTGCATTGTTCTTTGGTCTGTGCATTGATATGATGTTTTGAGTTAAGAATTTAGCTAGATTTATATATATCTATATTAAAAACAGTAATTCAACTGCCAGGTTTATATGATTCCTATTCAGGAAAGTGCTTAGAGCCAGATTTTTAAAGGTATTGAGGCAGTTGCTGCACTCCACTTTACAATGTCCAAGTCTCTTTTTAAAAAGTAATTTAGATGCTAGGGATGTAAATGAGTAGTTGAGTATACGATGGATTGATAAGCTGGTCTGCACAGGGAGTTGATTTTTAAACTGGCTTTTCTCACAGTTCAGCTCCTGCCTGGCACCACGCGCTGCTGCCTCTGGTACAGCAGCAGCGTGGAGTAGCAGGGGGTTCCCCGGAGTGTAGCTGGAGCGCACTGGCTGCTGCCCCTGCACCTGGAGACTATAGAGTAGTGAAGTGATTGATGATGTTTTATGTAGTTACTCAGCTATTCTATTACCCAATATCTGACATCCCTATTAGATACTTAGGAGTGAAAATCTTATTGACTGTCAATGGGATTTTGACAGCTAAGTGCCTAAATCCCTTTTGAAAATGATACTTAAACCACAACAGTGAGTAGCAGCCTTTTAAAACTCAGGTTTTTAAGACATACTTAACTGCTTTCTTGAATTGGGACTTAAATGTGTGTTGGGCCTCTGGATTTAGATTTCAGTCAACACTCCCCCATTAAAAATGAAATAGATTTTTTTAATCTAGTAAGAACTGGATAAACTGCATCTAAGTGTTTGTCCACACAGAGCAATAATGAGGACTACAGGGGTATGATTTCTAAAGCACAATAATGTGTTGGGCATTAATTGGTCTATGTAGACCCTGCTGGTGTGCAGTACAGTATGCCTGTGTCTACACTGGCATGAATTTCCGGAACTGCTTAAAACGGAATATTATTCCGTTTTCAGTTTTTCTGGAAAAGGAGCGTCTACATTGGCAGGCTGCTTTTCCGGAAAAGCCCCTTTTCCAGAAAAGCATCTGTGGCCAATGTAGACGCGCTTTTCCGGAAAAGAGCCCTGATCGCCATTTTCGCGATCGGGGCTTTTTTCCAGAAAGGACTACTGGGCTGTCTACACTGGCCCTTTTCCAGAACAGTGTTCCGGAATAAGGACTTATGCCCGAGCGGGAGCAGAATAGTTTTTCCGGAATAGCGGCTGATTTTGTACAGTAGAGTATCGTTGCTTTTCCGGAAATTCAAGGGCCAGTGTAGACAGCTCGCAGCTTATTCCGGAAAAGCGGCTGATTTTCCGGAATAAGTGGCCCAGTGTAGACACAGCCTATAGGTTCCCTAATGTGCTTTAATGTAGTGCTGTCTGAAACATCACTACGTTAAAATGCCTTAAGGAACATTACAAAGAGATGACAGGTTTCAGTATATACTACTGTATATACATTACAGTACAAAATAGAGACCCCAAAATCCCCAGTTACTGGAAATCAACATACAATTCAAATATTGCTAAAAATGAACCCCCAAAATTATATTAATAAACCCTGAAAAACAGAAGCCCCAAATTTGTCCTATCCAAGTATGTTTGTGAAGTGTTAAATATGAAATCAGGGAGCAAGGAATGTTTTAACATAATTATCCTCCCTTTAGATAATTTAGTTTATTGTTTATTGTGCCTTCGTGTTCTTCGTATATGCAATCTAAAATATTTTTTTAATCTGAAACAGGAGAATAGGAGGAAGTACTGGGAAAAGAATCAATTAATTGCCATTGAATTATCTGACTTGGTAATCTACTGTAAACCAACAAGCAAATCCAAGGACAATTTAGGTGATTTATTTTTAATAATAAATGTCACGTTGTCTGTTTGCATGCCAATCCTGTTCAAAGAAACACTTGAAATTTTAGAACGGAAAATAAAATACCTGCTTTCTACACTGGGACAATTCAGCCTCAGACATGCAGGGTTTTCAGTGACATACTGGAGCGAGCTTTACAATATTCAAATGTTAAAATGTCAGGTGAACTCTAGTGAATTATCAGAATTGTTTTGAGCATGCATCTCAACTTGTCAAGGCTTAAGTCTAGGATTAAATACGGAACATACTACTGAAAGGAGAGAGAGAAGAGATCATAAAGAAGGAAGGAAAGCTCTGAGGAGACGAGAATGACTTGGAAATGATTCATTCAGATTTTTCTTTTCCGTATGCTACATTACTAATGTTCATGAAATGACAGTGACAAAGAGTAGGAAGCTCTAGTGTCTGTTGATGGAGTGAAGTAATGACATTGTCTTTTATAATTGAAGATGTCAGAGAGATACGCTCTGGAGCAGTGGCAAATTTCCACTTGGCCTATTCAAGCCACTCTTCCAGTGTAACACTGATAGTGAAGCTGACCAGAAATCAACATGCACACTTGGCTCCTTTCGTTTTAGAAGATGAGAAAAGGCTCTGAATAAATTATTTTGTGATTTGTGAAAAAACTCAACCTTAAAATCGACTTGCTTTATACTTTGTAATATTTTACTATGAGAGCCTGCTTGTCATTTACAAGGAGGCTCCTGGAAATAATGTGAAGGTGTCTGAGTGTAAATGAGAATGGGGTGAAATATCAGTAAAAATTCCTGGATTGAGGCTGAAATTGATTACTTGCTGGCTTTTGGTCATTGAAACTAGATCCAAGGAGTACCAAACAAGTATCCTCTTCCTGCTTAAGATTCTTTGCGAATGCTTGCAGTAAACCATCAGTGTAGATAGACACTACAATTGCAATCATTGTCGGAGGCATTGTTAAGCATGGCTTGCCCTCCATCCCCCCCCACTCACACATAGGAAAGGATGTCTTATTTAAAAATGTGCTGCCGTGCTCAAAGGAGCTTTATTAGTAGTGATGGGATGAGAACAACACTGTAGCCTTCATCCAGTCCCCCCACAATGAGCGATTAGAGGACTTGTCAGGCAGACAGGTTATTTTAATTTTCAGACTTGACGTTCAGCCAGTTTGCGGTGTGTGCATTAACTAACAGTCAATTTGTGTTAAAGGATGAGGTAAAGCAAAACTCCAGTGGAAATGGAGAATAAATGGTGGTTTCTTTTCCCTTTTTTCCCCTTCCCTCCCGCCTCACCCCATGTAGACAATCCTGATTTCAGAGAAATCCGGTCTTTTGTGGAAACCAAGGCTGAAAGTGTTGTCAAGCAGAAGCCTGGTGAGCTGCTGAAGTACAACCAAAAGGGACTGACGCGAGTATACCCTAAAGGACAGAGGGTTGACTCATCCAATTATGACCCGTTTCGCCTCTGGTTTTGTGGTGCCCAGATGGTGTCTCTTAATTTCCAGACCCCAGGTAACATTCTTGTGAAGAGGAGCCTAATTGTCTTTCATTCTTTCCATTGATTATTATAAATTTCCCCCTCTAATCTGTCCCCAGTCATGATCACTATGACTCTCCTTTCCAAGGTATCTTACTAAATGGAAAAAGGAATGTGAGTGCCTGAGAGGATTGAAAGTAGATGTTTGCTTGTGACTTTGTGGATTGGCTACAAGGATAAATCCCAGAAAATTAATCTCCAGCCACCCTGTAGAATTTACTTGTGCAACCTGATCCAACTCCCTTGAAATCCTGGAGTCTGTCTCTTTACTTTGTAAAGGGTGTTGGACCAGGCAGTATGGCCACAACATCAGCTGGTATAAATGCATAACTCCAATGATTTTGATAGTGATACTAATTAAGAGCAGCTGACAATCTACTAGACCGCATTTTGTGGAGCTGTATTGACAATAATTCCATTTAATGATCAAGAGCTATTAGAAGAGCTGGTTGGAGAAACTGTGATGGAACCACATTCTGTCAGAATGCACAGTTACATTGAAATTGACACATTTCATGAAATCATGTGAGGTGCACAAGAATTTGATTTCTTGTTTCTACATTTTTGGATATGGAGTACGTATTTTTTTTCATTTTGAGATCACTTGTCATTTTGTTTCTTAATTTCGTATGGTCAGAATTTTTTTTTAAAGGCCACAATCTAAACAAAATGTTTCAATTTTGTCAAAATGAAATGTTTTGTTCTCCTGGAAAAAAAAAACAGTAATTTTCTTCCAATGGGAAATTTTGAAATTAGTTTTTGTTCCTTTTCAAAATCTTAACATGTTTTTTGGAAAGGAGCTTCTTCTCTCTGCACAGCTCTAGATATCAGCTTGTGTTTATTACTGAATAGATATTTTAACCTGTTCACTGACGAGTGAAAATGTGTGTGAACTGAAAATTCCCAACATTTCTGGTTTGACAGAATTTTCTCTAGGCTAATCGTTCTAATTACTGAAGTGAAACATTAGTGGGAATGACACTCTAGAGCCATCAAAGGGATACTTTGTCAACCTTTTGGATTAAATAAAATGGGAAACTGTACTATCATGGCTATCTCATTCTCTCCCCAGATAAATACGTGCAAATAAACCATGCCTTGTTTTCACTTAATGGACGGACTGGATACATTTTGCAGCCAGAAAACATGAGAAACGAGGACTATGACCCTATGCCAAGTGAATCAAAGAGGAAATTGCAGATGATTTTGACAGTGAGGGTAAATCTTTTCTTTTGTAAATATATTTTTATAAGCAATAAAGGTCCATATGACTAAAAATAAAACTATTATATTTTCAGAGCAGGAGCTGTGACAAATTGCCAAAACATACTTTATTTAAATGCCAGTATTTAAAAATAAAACTAATTCTGCCATTTTCCATTAAATTAAATACATTTCTCTTTGTCATATCAATTAATATAGAACCGAAAAATGGAATGTATATGGTGACTATTAAAAATCACATCAACTTGCATTGACCTCCACTGTAGTCCTCATTAGAAAGATCCAATTAGAGACTGATTAGCAACAGATTTATTAGTTCAACAGGTTTCCAATTTGAATGAAATAGGTTTTTATAATGGAAAAAAAGAAACTAAGCCAGAACACAATAGGAGAAAATGTGGCTATTTTGCTACACTCCATCATGTCAGAATGTTATTTTTTATGAAGAGAAAGAGTTTATTGTTTGAAAATTACACTATAGTGGGTCCTGGCACCATCTGTAAATTGAACTTGTTTGTGTTCTCAGCTGCTATTCAGCAACAGAGATGTCTTCCAAAATAGCATATGTTTTATGAGAAATGATGGTAAGGAACAAATACACTTCTCACTACAGTTTGAACGCAGACACGAGTTGTAAAAGTAAAAGAACAAACGCTTTTTAAGAAACATAGGAAAGGCTAAAAGAGTACAAAAGGCTCACTATTATCCGATCATCATGAGAATCGAACAGTGGCAATTGAAGTGAGGAGTCTTCTGTATGTTCTGTCTTCTGTATGTTCTGTGAGAGTGTGGATTTTCATTCGCTGTCCCTCATTTTTGCAGACACATTTTTTGCACCCATAATTATTTATGCTCACGATTTAGGTGACTCTGATGTTTGCCATTGATTTACAAGTGCATTCATTGATCAGCCTGTATAAGTCACCAGAACTCTTGGCACAAATAATTGCTCATGCCAGATTACACCTGCAGTTATTTTTGCTTGCAAGAATGGAGGTCCACTTTGTCATTTTTAGGGAGAGGGGCACTGAAATTTGATTCAGACTATTGAATGGCTATCAGCAAGAGAGAAAGAAAGATAAGAAAGAGAAACGTGTTTGTGCATGTATCTATATATTGCATAGAAAAGCTGCTTTGAACAAAAGTCAACCACACACAAATCAGGCCAGAATTAAGTTGGCCTGTGCAAGTCTGACTCAGCCCCTTTGTGTTTATACATTGTGGTACTGTCTTAAATTATATAGTCACATACTGTTTCCCCCCACTGAATCTCACCTCATTCAATGAATGGGTATTTATTCAATGTTCATTTCCCCCTTTTCATTCAGTATGTGACCCCAGGTCTTATTAGCATGAACCATACAAACCCTATACTGAAAACAGACTTGTTAATTTCCTTTTAGGTGTTTCTGAAGTGTTTTCATCATGGTAGCTGAGGGCTCACAAACGTGAATTAATCCTCTCAACTCCCTTGTGAATTTAGGTAGGGGAACTGAAGCACAGAGATTAAGGTCAGGATTGTCAAAAGGATCCACTGACTTGAGTGTCAATCTTGAGACACCTAGGCCCTGATTTGTCAGAATACTGAGAATTTTATGGCACTTCATATTCCCAAAGCACAGTTCCAGTCAAATCAGTTGCAGTTGTGAGCACTCAGCACTTTTGCAAATCAAACCCCAAGCATTCTCCTGTTGATCATGGAGAAAATGAAGAACACCCAATTAGTGGCCAATTCTGATTGCATTTGACTTGCTTAGAATCACGTAGTCACTCAGTGGCACAGGAAGGTATAGAATCCAATTACCTAGAATGACACTCAGTTTCCTTAACCACGAGACCTTTCTGTTCCTGCAGTCCCTCATCTCATTCCTTAAGAGTGTAATAATTGAGGCAGGAGAGCTACTGAGAGCCACCTCTTTCACTACAAGAATGCTGATTCATTCTCAGAACATCATTCACCCTCCCTTTCCCTTAATCCACTTTTCATTCCTCTGTATTTGAGTCAGGCATCGTCCCGCTCCTACCTCATGTTACCTGCAGGAGAGTATCAAGAGCACTGGAAGTACAGCCTCCCTGCTCTCAGTTTCTGTTTCTGGTACCACAGTGGTCCTCAGTAGCTGGGAAGAGCCATTGCAAGTAAAGTCCTGCAACCCTTTGCTCGCTCTGTAGGGAAGGCACATGCACAGTCTGGTTGCTAGGCATGGAGCTTGCCCAGTACAGACAGAATCACTGGAGAATTTAATTGAGGATATGTGATTCTTTTTCCCCTGGAGGCTTAAAAGTTGGATAGATTTGCATGTATTTTCACGGGCATGTCAGTGGGCACTTCCCTGTCATCAGGGCAACCCCATAACAAATGTCAAGTCACTGCTTGGAAGCGTACAGGTGCTAGATCTTCTTAATGGAAGGGTGCTAAGAGGTTTTTTTTTTCACATGGGCAAAACATCGTATTGATGAAAGGTATAGGAAACATGACCTATGAATGATGGAAGACTGAAAGAACTGGGTTTGTTTACTTTGGAAAAGAGAAGACTGAGAAGGGACATGATAACAGCTTTCAAGTAATTAAAAGAGTGTTACAAGGAGGAGGGAGTACAATTGTTCTCCTTGGCATCTGATGATAGGACAGGAAGCAATGGGCTTAAACTGCAGCAAGGAAGGTTTAGGTTGGACATTAGGAAAAACTTCCTAATTGTCAGGGTGGTTAAACACTGGAATAAATTGCCTAGGGAGGATGTGGAATTTCCATCTCTGGAGATATTTAAGAGCAGATTATATAGACATCTATCAGGGATGATCTAGAATGGTGCTTGGTCCTGTCGTGAGGGCAGGAGACTGGACTTGGTGACCTCTGAAGGTCCCTTCCAGCTCTAGTGTTCTATGATTCTATGCTATTTCTATATACACACACATAAACAGATTATGTATCTCTGTATAATATATTGGAGAGAAATTGCATGTGTGTGTTTTCTTGTGGACTATTTGAGAAAAAAATAGTCTTTTTCAGTGGCACTGTTTAATAGTTCTGTAGTCCAGTAGCAGTACATAAATTAAAATGCCAAGTTTCCTTTTCAAATATTGGTATAATCTATTGTCCCTTTATAGGTTTTAGGTGCTCGCCATCTGCCTAAACCTGGCAGAAGCATTGCCTGTCCATTTGTAGAGGTGGAAATTTGTGGGGCTGAATGTGATAATAGCAAGTTCAAGACAACTGTTGTGAGTGAGTATCTGCACAACCTTCTGGGTGGAGTAGAGTTACACTTCCAGTGTACTAAATAAAATTGATAGGGGACTTTCATCTTACACGATATTTATAACAAACATTAAAACTATTATCATGCATGATATCTATAACAAAGGTTAATATTTTGTTGTGGTTATTTTAATAAAAGTTAATGAACAAAAATTCACAGAAGCCCATGGCTTGTCTGACTTGTACTAGAAATAATGAAGAGGGGGTTTGACGGAGGTAGGACTGGGAAGAAAATGGGACGGGGGAGCCTTTCTGGGCGGAGAGGGGGGGAATCTAGTACCTCATGCCTGTCACTGTAGGGCTGAAGCAGAAAATCTCATGGAGATCTCTGCAAGTCCCAGAATCCATGACCTCTGTGACATAATCTTTTCCTTTATCTGTAATTTAGAAACATTGTATACCAGAAGGATAAGAGCATAAGGAAGCTTTATTGCTCTTAAGTGATGATGCATGGATTAGTACTCTAGAGCTTGCCCCAGAACCAGTTAATTTTAGAACCTTCACTATGTGTCAAATTTAGGCAAAGAAACATGCAAGTGTTAGGTTCACAATAAACTTCATTTCTGTTAAGTTTCTGGCTATTTGTAATTTCCATATTTTAAAATTGCTTGGTAAGTTGAAGGCATCTCCGAAGATGCTCTATGTGGTGTTCCAGGCTCTGTGTAATTTGAAAGCTTGTGGTTTTCAACAGCAGAAGTTGGTCCAATAAAAGATATTCCCTAACCGACCATGTCTCTTTCTGAAGGGGCACTTCAAGCAGAAAAGTTCTAAGGTCATGAGACTATTATTATTTAGGTTTGAGTTCAAATATTAGATAATTTCTTTGGATATATATTGGACAAGAAATGTGGTAGTACAGCAATAGAGAATGCAAAGCCCTATCATCTTGATCCAGAACCCAACAATATCAAGGAAATATCCCCTTGAGAATGGGAGCTGTGTGTGCAAATGAAGTTCATTTAATACCTGTATCTGTGTGGGACATTTTCGCCCAAAGTCCAATGGGGGTAAGGATTTAAATGTGAGGCTGCTGCTTCTTTATGTTTTTTCTTACTTTAAGCCATCTGATTAGCTGTCTATTTTATTGCCTGATTTGACATTTTCAGAGGCATTGATGCTTCTCTGGGACAGATAAAACCTTATTTCTAGTTATCCACACTGCAGAACTCGGCGAGTGGAATGAATGCAGAATGTTCAGTAGGGAGCAGCACCTCTAGGGAAACCACAGTATTCCCCATAGGAGAGTAGTTTGATCTTTATATATTGAACTGGTGATCAACCTTCAAAACCAGATTTTCAGCCACCAGAACACATGCAGATGACCCCAAAAAACTTCTGCAATGGGTATGCAAACTAGATAGTTTCATATCCGTCTACTTAGTATATTTCACGCTAGTGTCTGTTTTTATGCTCAGACCTAGGGCTTGTTTTTCAATACTGCCTGGCAAGCAGTTCACCTTTTAAAAATAGATCTCCTGGGAGGTTTTTTATATAAATATTTTAAATATGAGCAAATGTATTTAAATCTAGGTGTTTTTTTTAAATCAATTTTTCCCCTTTCCCCCAAGAACTTCTTGAGTGGGCATATAAAAACAGGAGGGATAAGGAATTTCAGTCTTTGTGTCTAATCCCAGTATATGCCCTTGGATATACACACTTGTATGTACACGAAAGGGGAGCGATTGCATCATAACACAAAAGTTTTCCTTTTGTTCCAGATGACAATGGACTTAACCCAGTTTGGGCACCCTGTCCGGAGCAAGTGAAGTTTGAAATTTATGATCCTAACTTAGCATTTCTGCGTTTTGTTGTTTATGAAGAAGACATGTTCAGTGATCCCAACTTCTTAGCACATGCCACTTTTCCCATAAAAGGAATCAAATCAGGTAAAGCTCAATAGGGTGTCATACTGGGTTAAGCAAGAAACATGCTCTTTAGATCTGTCAGTAATGTGCATTTGGTTTCAAAATTTAAGGAGTAAAGTGCCCATCCTGCTAAAACATACCCTGGGAGATAGCTTCTTTAAGGTGAAAATGCCATTCTCTCACTCTGATCTAGGATGTTAGGTGTATTGGAAATAATCTTTTAAATTAATCACCTACCACCAAATTGTTTTTCATTCTTTTCGCAATAAGAAAGAGTTACATAGATCAAGTTGTATCAGCAACTAGAAAATGGGTATGGAACTACATACCATAGCAGTATGGTCGGTTTCACAGTGGAAAGTAAAGACCATTCCTGCATTCTTGGCTGAAACAGATGGATTTAAATCTGACCCTCTGGATTAGGAGAGAGCCGTTGACAAAAAAGATTGATGTTCTCCAGCCTCCTCAATACCCAGTTACAGGTTTATTCTGGAAAGGGACCAGTGTCAGTGTTGCAGTGTTTGTGCCTACCTTCTCATGATTTGATTATGGAATGATTACTGTGATTTAGTTAATTTGATTGTGTGCTCAGAATGAGTTCTGGAGAGATCACTTCTTTAGACTCTTCTGCTATCTTGGGTTCTGCTTTTGCTTTTTAGCAGATCAAAATGTGGGCATCCCTTGAGTTAACTTCTGATTTCTCCAGGCCTGGTATGATTAACAAGGCTTTGGGAAAACTTCATTACTCCATCTTTGCTGGCTGCTTCTTTATAAATTTCAAAGCTTTGCCTGCTCAAAAGATGGAGCAAGTGAGTGGAGTAGAAAGATCCTCCCAGTCCCCTACATGCTTGTCCCCAATTCCAAGCAATCCTCCCTTCTTTGCTTTAATTACCTCTCTGCATCCTCTCCCCAGGTTTTAGGTCAATTCCTCTCAAAAATGGTTACAGTGAAGATATAGAGCTGGCTTCCCTCCTGGTATTCTGTGAAATGCAGCAAGTTCTGGTAAGTGCAAAACTACTTCCTGTGTTACACTTTCGTCACCACTTCCACTACACCCAGGGAATGTGTCAGTGAGCTCTTTGTAGTAACCAAGAGGTGACAATTCAGCTTATTGTCCTGTGGCTGATGACGTACGACCCTAAAGCAGCAATGGGCAACCTACGCTAGTGAGTGGGCTGAATGAGTGACCTTGGGCTGCATGAGTGGCCTCCTTCATCTGAGTGGGCCGCAAGATTGTCGTAACCAAAACGGTCTCCCAGAAAAGGGCAGTTTTGCTTACTGCACACGGGTACCTAGTATTTGCGGGGTGTGCTGATTGAACCATAGCAGCACTCTGATTGTTTGCAGAGGGAGCACATGGCTCTTGCTGCCAATGTGGTGTGCAGTCAGCACATGCCTCACTTCACATGCCGTCGCTTTACGTGCGTGTCACTTTAGTGATATTGGTAGGAAAAAAACGACATAGTCAAAAACCAGCAGAATCTGGCAACCCTCCTCCTAGTAACAGTAAACACTATGTCTTGCGTGCCACATGTAGATCCCCGATGGGCTGCATGCGGCCCAGGGACTGCAGGTTGATCGCCACTGCCCTGAAGTCTTTCACACTGGTTCCTGAATGTTTATTAACCTGATTTCAGATGCTCACTGTGTGGGGATGTTGTCTCTCACTTTTTAAGAACAGTCTGTTCATGCAGCAACTCTGCTGCTGGCCTCCTTGATTGGAATGAAAGTGTCTAGAATTTAATTCTTCGGCAGTAGCAGTGAGTCTATCTCAAGCTAGTTTGCCCCTCTTAAAGGTGAAACTCAGTAATATTGACATCTCACTTGGCAATAGATACTCAGGATAGAATATATTCCCTCTAGAATCAGTCTCTGGAAAAGGACAGAGCTTTTCCAAAGAGCAAAAGTGAAGACAGTAATGGCCAGTGTTTCAGAAAAAAATCAGAGACCCAGCGCTAGATCCCACTGCAGATAAAGCTGACTCATTTAAGTCTTCACAGCACATCTGTTTGAACCACTAACATTTTGTTTGCACTTAACCCCCTTCTTGGAAAAACAATTATTACACATCCTCAGTCATGGAATCAGTCAGATAGCTGGGTGAGCCATAAACAATTATTATTGACACTTGAAGGTGTTGCTACAGTACTTTAAACTACAGCAATCATGTTTAGTCAGCATACTCTCCACCCTCCAAATTCTCAAGTCACAATTCTCCAGGCTTGATGATACGGCCCCGGCGTGATCTCCCATATACTGCAAATTTCAGAGGAAAAAATACTCCGTTTCTGCTTTACATTGGTGTAAGCCCACTAGAGTTGATAGAGTGACTCTAGACAGAGGCTTCTGTAACTGACATCAGAATCAGGTTATTGCATTTCTTATAGCAAACCACTGTGTGCTTCTCAACAGTAAGTCATTAGGTCTCTGGAGGGATTTAGCCCTGCAGCTACATAGACACTGAAATGGAAAGGATTGTTTTCACAGTCCTGCTCCGTTTCCCTGGTGAAGCAGCAGCTTTGGAAAAGGGTAGTTCCCATCCCAGCTCTTCCACGTTGTGTAGAAAGTCTCATGGGATGCCATTGCACACTGACTTGTATGTAATCCTGTCACAGCTTCTTGGCAGACATTGTAGCTTTCCATTACCTGCTGGAGAAGGGAGAGTAAAGAGGAATTGCAGTGAGGGGATCTGAAGGGAAATGAGAACGTGGGAATGCAGGATCATAAAGGGGAAGGAAAGGTTCTATGGAACGAAAGGGGCCAAAAGTGAATGGCCACAAAAGGGGAAAATATGAGACTGATGCATATAAATATAATGTCTATCTTTTTAAAAGTTTTGAAACATGTAAGGGCTCAAATCCCATGGGGATGAGCCTTGCATAGAGGGATAGATCAGGGGTGGGCAATAATTTTTGATGGGGGGGCACTCCAAAAATGTGGTAAGTGGTCAGGGGCTGCACTTTTCATTGGAGAGGGTACAGGGTCTGAGATGTGGGTTGGGTGCCAAAGGGAGCTTGGGGTAGGTGATTGAGGTGCAGCAGGGAGTATGGGGTCTGGGAGAGAGTTTGGATGAAGGTTGGGACCTGGGAAAGGGAATTGGACTGCAGGAGGGGGTGCAGTGTTCAGGAGCGGGCATGGGTGCAGAATAGTATTCTAACCTGTAGGAGGGGATGCAGGGTCTCAGAGCGGATTGTGACCTATGGTTGCAGGGATTTGGATTGTGACCTAGGACAAGGGATTGGGGTGCAGAAGATGACTCTGACTTGGAAGAGGGGGGTGCGATCTGGAAGAGACTTGCCACTTGGGGCAGGGGTTTAGGGTGCAGAGTCTGGGAAGGGTATGGGTGTAGGAGGGGGTGCAGAGGGTTTGATTTGTGAACTGGGGCAGGGAGTTGGGAGGGAGGAGGCAGGGTGCCAAGTGCAGACTTTGGCAGGGAGGCACTTACCTAGGCTGTTCCCAGCCAGCTATCCAGTGGCAGCCTCGGGCAGGTTCCTGCCTTCTGCACCCCCACATACTGCTTAAGCCAAAATTAAGATGTAGTGGAAATGTCTATTTACAATGATGAAACATCAAGGTGATGATGCAGTGTTTGGAGACATTTTGAAGATTTTTTGACAGCCTGTAGTGAACAAAGACTTGTCACGGTCATAAAACTTTTAGAACCTTTGCCAAACAAATTTAGAAGTATCATAAAAAAGATCAAGACCTTGTCCATCTGTTAGGCTGCTTAAAAAAATTCCTCCATAAAATGTTATAATTTAATAACAGGTCTGTTTATTCAGAAAGCCCATCTGCATACACTTGGAAAGAAAATGTAAAATTATGAAAGGGCTTGCAGATGGTTTTGAAATTTGTTGAGACAGAGAGATGCAAAAATGTAAAGGTGTATAAATTGTCATGTCAGCCCATATCCAATTCCTACTGAAATTACCTGGAATATTTCAGTATATTCTAGAAAGGCAAGTGTATTAAGAAAGTTTTAAAATTTAGAAGCATGTCTTATTTGCTTGCAAATCTGATTTACTTGCTGAGAAAATGTTTGACTGTTTTTGAAGCATTCTCGGATTACAGTCAGTTTAGCTAGTACTTGTGTTTGTAACATACAGATTAAAGTGGACACTTCTGAAATTAGCATTGGTGGATACAATTATTTGTTAGAACAAATGAGAGCATGTAGATGTCTAAAAGATTAGCAATTGGCCATTTGCATGTCCTTGTTTATGGCTGAAGGAGGCGAGATGGGTCTTGAAAAATCAGAGCCTTTATTCTAGGGACGTAAAATCCTGTTTTTAAAATGTTAACCCATTACACCATATGGTTAACTGGTTAATAATATTAAATGACCGGCCTGCCATGTCACACCATGGGCAGGGAGCCACTGGAGCAGCCCCTGCCCATGGCTCTGTGGTCACAGCAGCATGGTGAGCCCTGCCAAACTGGAGCAATGCCCCCGACCAGAGCCAGTCTTAGGGGTGGGTGACCCAGGCAATTTTCAAGGGGCCGCCGACAGAGCTAGTCTTAGGGGCGGACTGCGACCGCATTTCGGCCGGACCTTCTGAATCCTTGCCCTGGGTTTCCCTGGTTACTCCCTCACCCTTTTTTTTTTTTTTTTTGCTTGACAAATTTTTGTCCGGTATTTTTTTTCCAACTATCTGGCAATCCTACAGGTGAGCCAATTGGTTAGGACTGGCCCTGCCCCCCACCCAGTGACACTACATGGCTGGGAACTGCTCCAGCCAGATGCCAGTTAACTGGTTACACTAGTAAGCATTCTGGTAAGGCAATGTTTATCAGATAATCGGTTACCCTTTTATATCCCTACTTTATTCCATAATTTGTATTGCAGAACAGAGAGGATGTGATTCAGCTCCTTGATGTCCTCAAAGAGGGAGCTGCAGCAGGGTTTTAGCTACAGTGCAGGGGTGGCCAATAATTTTTGCAGGGGGGTCACTTAATGAAATTTGATACATGGTCACAAGCTGGCTCCACCCCTGGAAGAGGCAGGGTCTGGGGTGGAAGAGGTGGGGTTGGGGACGAGCCTCCCCCCAGTGTTGTCTGGGACCATAGGCTTTGAATTAAAAACACAGCAAAGGCCAGCTCCTGGCCCCACTGCTACTGTGTTGCCAGGCAGCCTTCCGGGGTTGCTGAGGCTATTTAAGGAGTTTGCAGCCCTTGCCGGGGTAGCACCGGGGTAGCACCACAACCATGAGTTTGAGCCATTCAAATAGGATCCTGCTGCCTGAACCACTGCCTGGAAATTTGCTGGCACAAGCAGCAGGATATAAATAGAGACCAGATACAGTCCATGGGCCAGATCTAAGTGTTAAGTGGGCCAGATCTGGCCCTTGGGCCACATTTAGCCCAGCCCTGGGTGCCCTGTGTGTGTGCGTGTGCGTAACAGAGCACTTGCCATTATTTTAGAGTTTGTTAACTTGGCATCTGGGGAGTCAGTGGCTGAGGAATAAAAGGGGCTTGATTATTCGTACATCTGCTGCACAGTGTCTTCTGTTTATTGGTCACATGATTCTTTTTGATGTGGGATGTTGTGATATTAGTGTGGAAAGTAAGATCCCAGTCTGTTCAAGACTTACAAAGAAGGAAAACTACATAATGTTTTAAAATAGGCCATTAATAGTTATGTGGTTTCCTGTTCATTTCTGAAGAGTTTTGACAGCCCTTTTTATACAAGATGACATGCAAATACAAATTAAAAGAAAAGGCTTTACCCTGCAGCCGAAACAGAGTCTCTCAATCCCATTAGACAGACCCGCTACAGCATGACTCAGGCTAATGCAAGAGGTTTCAGACTCTGGGTTGCAGCATGTAAGGGCAAATCACTAGCTGGCCATGAGACACCATTAGCTTTGTTTACCTGCACCTCTGCAGCTATAGGTAATCGCAGCAACCATTGGACATGGATCACTGTTCCCGGCCAATGGGAGCTGTGGGAAGTGGTGCACATCAGGACATTGCTTCCCACTGGCCAGGAATGCTGTGATCCCCTGTACCTGCGGAGGCACAGGTAAGCAAAGCATCTCACAGTCAACTGTTGGTTTGCCCTTTCAAGCCGTGACCCAGAGTTTGAAAACCCCTGGGCTAATGTGCTAAAAATAACCATGTGGACTTAGTGGCTTGAGTGGCAGGTTGAAGCTTCAAGCCCACCTGTATGTGAACTTGCATGGCTAGTCTGAGTCTTTGCTGGAGCAGCAATCTCTGCTTCTATTTTTAGTATACTAGGTTGCATTCTATTAGCCAAATATGTCTGCTTGGATAGAGAGGCTCATTCCTGGCAGTGGTGTAGACATACCCTAAAGGGCAGATGCTCTGCTGGTACAGGCAGTCCCCGACTTACATTGATCCGACTTATGTCGGATCCGCCTTTTTTAAGAACGGGGCTTTTCTCGCCCAGGAGCTCACGGGCGGCGGGTTGCCACCCGTGTCCTCCGGGGCGAGAAAAGCTTCTCCCGGTCTCCCTGGTCTGCTGGGGGGGTCCAGCAAAGCCGCTGGACCCCCCCAGCAGACC